GCTCAGACAGCCTGGGACACCATTACCATATTTTTAAGTAACGAAGAATCTAATAGAAACTAAGTTTTTGGCAATTTATTAACCAATCATATTAGCTGCCAAAAAAATTGTAAATGCGGGTAAGAAGTTCAATTCAAGATCTATAGAGTATAGCTCACACTTTATAATGCAACACCCAATATAACATTTACATGTGAAGCACATCGATGTGTTTAACCAAAGTTGGGCAACTATAGAAAAGAAACGATATCAAGCTTCACTGTGAAAGTGATATATGGCCCTTCACATAAAGAACAACAAACTTTTTAGTAATTTATTAACCAATTATATTACTTGCCAAAATTTGTAAAAGCTTGTTAACAGTTAAATTCAAGGTCTACGAAGTATAGCTCACACTTTAAATTGCAATAACAGCTAAAACATTTACGAGTGTAGCATATCAGAATGTTTACCCGAAGCAGGGTAACTGTGGAAGAGAAACAATATTAAGCTTCAGTGTGCAAGAAGATACGGCCATTCACATGAAGAATGACAAAAACGTTTTGAAAAAAAAGGGGGAACTCTTTCATGTCAACTAAAATGGGGAACGGTACCTTTTGCACACGAGCAGTCAACCTTGTCATTTGACTCTTCAACTTACGAACTCGATCTAAGTTACGGCTACTAATCTGCAATTACAATTGTTCAGAGAATTACTAAAATGAAACAACAAAAGATACAAGAAATTTAGACCACTAATGGCATGTTGCATAAGGTGGATTGGACAGTATTAATGAAGAAAAAGACGCTAATCATGTCAATTTTAATACCTAGTATGGAGTACTGAACATGCCATAAGGTTATAGCCAAATAAAAGATATTCAACCACAACTACTGCTCAGGAAGCAATAAAGAAAACTAAAAAGACAACAAAAGAATTATAAACATAAATAAAACAAAAATTTCAAGTTTTAGAGGGAAGACATTGTTGTAAACTGGTATAAGAAGCTGTAGGAACCTACCACATATATTCTTTTCAACATTCCACCTGTGCCTACGTGGGGGGTTAGGATTGACCTTACCACGTCTATTGATAAAAAAGAAAGAAACTAGCAAAAAGTAGGGGGACAACCAGCTTCACCTCCAGAATTGACTACCACACATGCACCTCCGTGATTTTCGTTATGTAATAACTCTAAACTGAAGTACAGCAAAAAGAAATGAACACCTGGAGCAAAGAGCCTTCTATTAATTACGTCGATTGTCATCACAGCATGCGAAATACTTTCAAAGTTCATCAGGTGGTAAAAATCACACTATTTGTAAATCAGGCAGAATGATGGCAGAATAAAGATACATATGAGAAACAATAACAATTTAGGCATATTCTGCTATGAATACATGATGAAGCCCATTTGGATTGAGTTGAAAGGCCCTTTTTCTTTTTTTTTGGGGGGGGGGGGGGGGGGGGGGGTTGTTTGTTTGTAAACATCTCTAATTAGTAATAAATAAATAAATAAAAATTTACCATCGCTCGGTTTAATACTCTTCATTGTGTGATTCCACTATGCGGCAAGGAGAGGAGAGGAATGCACTAAGAAATGGGAATTTTATTTTATTTTTTAAAGAAAAACTGCAAGGTAATCATACCTGCATAAGGGAGGAAAAATGGGAAACATTTTGTAAGACCATATCACCCTTCCATTTTGAAAAGAAAATTGACTTTTTTTGTGTTCAGCTAATGAAGATATTCGTTGTAACTGGATGGAAGGACATTTTTGGTAATCAAGGCTTTGTTTGTCTATCATTTTTTTACATTCTACCACATTATTTTTTTTATGGTATTCATTTTCAACCATATATTCTACATTAAAATAATATTACACGTAAATAAAAAACGTTTCCTTCTTTTTTAACCACACATTTTAACATCAATTACTATTCCATAATACATTACTCACAAATAATGGGTAGAAGCAAGCACCAAATGTGTAATTAAATGTAAAATTATCAAAAAAAGACAAAAAGAAAAGGTAGGAACATTTTGCGCGATAATAGTACCATATTTTTAATGATATTATTTATGTTTTAAGTGAAATTTTAAAATAATATTTATGATGTAACTTATTCAATATATGATTTATTTTTTATTTTTTGTTAAATCGTGTTTTTAAACTGAACCAAATAAAAAAAAAAGGTGATTTAGATTGGTTCGATTTAAAATTAAAGTTGTTTGTTTCGGGTTAAAAATTAAAAAAAAAAAAAGAAAAAAAAAAGAAGAAGGGTAAAATAGTCAAAAATGGGTGAAAATGACTTTTGCTCAACAAAATGTGGAATGTAGAGGTGAAAATGTCAAAAAATAAAAATTACAGACGTTTTACACAATAACACTAAAAGGTAGAGACGTTTTGTATCAATTACCCCCTTCGAAAAAATGACAATTTTCAAGTACCAAACACCTACCTCCATCCCTACCCTCACACCCACCACCAGCCGTTGGTTGAGGCTTCGACACCAGCAGCCAAAAATGGAAACGAAGAAACAGAGACGGCAAGAAGATGTCGGCAAAATAGGTCTTGAATTTAAAGAAAACGAACAGGGAACTTCTACAAAAATGTCTAAAAGATCTTGATTCGGCATAAGAAACTGCAGGAACTCGAATCTGAATTCCTCCATGTGATTGACCTCCCACCGGAAATCAGAGTATCTCAAATTAAAAATTTTTGATGGTAATTGCTAGTCGGTGGGTGTAGGTTGGGATGTTGATTGTGGGGGAGGACATGTTATTGATTCTGGATTTAGCTTG